CCCACAAGCTCCGTTAAAGGCACAAAGACCCTTTTCTGCAGCAGGATGTATCCTTTAATTTGGATTTTTTTTTTCTTTGCTTTTGCAAAGCATACCTGGAAATCTGGCTTTAAAGGATTTTCTTGGTTTTTTTTTTTGTTTGTTCCCCTGCCCAAGTGGCCTGTAAATTATCCGAGAGACTAGAAAGGAAGTGAAATTTCCATTTTTGGTGCCTGCTTTGCTATTGATGAGCTGTGTGGTTGCACGTCATGCTCAGTGTTGTCCTCACCTTGATGTAATGCCTGTTCGCTTCTTAAATAAGAGTTCAGGGGTGTGTTTTCCTGAGATCCTGCAAAAACAGCACTTGCCAGTGATATGAGGGGCAAAACCACAATTGGAGTGCCCTGAGGACCCTCAAGAAGATAATGGAAAAGCCCATAAACAGTTGCAGGACTTGTGTCTCCATCTTTTCCATCTCGACGCATAGGAGAAGATGGAGGGCATGGCTTCTGCCCTAGGCTCACAAATGCCACTTAAGGTCAGCCAAGAGAGATTACTGGGTGCGAGACGCGCTGAGCTTGGTCTCAGCCTTGGCCCCAGCCAGACGACACGTTGTGCTTACAGCAGTCCAGCCAATTTTTTTTTTAAGGACAGATGCTCTCAGCGTGTGCTGACAGATAAAGGAGGAAGGACTATAGCTTCATCTGCTCATCGGCGGTGCCCACATTGCTTGTTTTCCAGCAGAAATCTTCCCTCCTGGTAAGCCAGGCAGGGATCTCACCACCCCTCCAGATCTCCTTGCTGCCCCAGGAGCTCACGTCTTGGTACTTCTGGGAAAAGTCCATAAAACCAATCTCCTTTTGGTGCTATGGTTTCTTGGTGGACATCTACATTAATTTGTTGTCTTTACCCACTGGCGTTTGGTTATCAGTCATGCATGCAGTGTCAGCTCCACGAGTGGACTGGGTGAAGGTACCACAAAACCTGAGCAACCTGATCTAGTTGAAGATGTCCCTTCTCATTGCAGGGGGGTTGGATTAGAGGACCTTTAAAAGTCCCTTCCAACCCAAACCATTCCATGATTCTCTGATTCTATGAAAACGAGGACCCTTTTGTTAGCAATTCAGGGTGGATGATGCCATGGTGAGTACTGCGTCAGGGTTCGTGTTTGGTTGGAAATCCAGCCCCAGGGATTGCAAAGGAATGAAGGAGAGGAGGGGGTGTGATGGTGATAAGTTTAGGAAGAGCATGAGAAGATGCTTTGGGTCAAAGCTACTCTTTAAAAAAAAATTTATAAATATATATATAAAAAATATAAATACATAGTTTGAAATGCTTCTGCAGTTGGATAATTTAATTTGTGTCTAATCCTAATATCATTGAGGGAAGATCCAATTACAGGCATTTAAAAACCTAATCAGGAGCGCAGTTGCATTCCCATTTTCAGCAACGAGTTGTTATTATCACAAATATCAGTGACAATTTAGATAGCTCTTGACTTGATCAGATGGGAGTGGTCCCGGCGGGTGAGATAGCTCAGTGTGCGCTAAACTTGCTGTTTTCTTTAGAGGTTGGTTGATTACAGGAAAACCTTTAGCTATGTCAAAACAAAACAAAGCAAAACAAAAGATCCCCAGCCCACCTCCCCTCTATGTTCATGAACTTGGCACTGGGACAAGGCTGAGATCCAAATTTTTTTGGTTTTTTTTTTTTTTTTTTTTTTTTTTTTTTTTAATTCAATTTTGCTTAAATGGTTTGATTTTTCCTGAATGAAAAAAAAACAAACCAACTTCCCATACTCCTAATAAAACTGCCAGACCTTGGAAAGAAAAAGTACAGATGACGTGGTTTCATCATCTTAAAAGTGTTCATGTGTCAAGGAGAAAAGCCACACCAGAAATTTTCTGCCACTTCCAAGCAATGTGAGATGTGAGACCTCCTGCCACAACTTGGGAGAACCAAGTATGGAGCCGTTACTGATAAATCTGGGTGTTTCCATGGTGTGAATCTCCCATACCCACCTTTCATCTGGATCTCCTTGGTTTCAGCAGCTTTTAATTTTGGGGAGTTAATTGGTCTGGTGTCGTATACAGGATTTCTGTATGGATGTAGCATTTTCTGCAGCATCCCTCCCCACAGTAGGATGATGCTCTGAGCCCATGAGCAGCGTATGTAGGCCTGGAGCTAGAGAAATCCTGGCTGTGGCCTTTTATTGAGCAATTTTGGGCAGGACTTGATATTCATGAGGGTCAAGGCAGGTGGTAGGAAACCTCACAGCCTCTCATGGTGGTTGCTGTGTTGGGAGGTAGCTGGGATGATGCTTTTGTGGAGGAAGCTCCTTCCTTGCCAAGGGATATGCTGGTAAAAGTCAGGGCAGCCTCTCAGGAACATTCATGAGGGTGTAAAAAATACGGGGGAAAAAAAAAAATCAGTTTTCCAGGGGAAATGAGGTATTGAATGACGTGGTTATGCTGGAGCATCACTGGCTATGAACTCTCTGTGCCAAATTTCAAAAAAATGCTACCCCGAAGACTTTGGGGTATCAAATTATTGCCTTTATTTCTCCCCTCGATGCAGAAGTGTGCTCTGCTTCAGATGGCTGTTCTCTATAGACGCAACAATGAATGATCAATACAACTAATTCTCTAGATTCCTGAGGGTAGACTTGCTTTATTTTCAGTTATATTTTAAATTTTATTTTTTTTTCCACAATAACGTTGCACAATGCACTGGGGGGATCCTGACGGAGCCCCTAGGCAGGCTGTGATGCGAACCATGGAAAATTATAATAAACCAATGACAGCAGTAAATGGAGGGATGCTTAATAACAAAATAATAGCGGGGATGTTTATAGCACTAAACATTATTGTTGTTTGCTGGAACATGGGAATGCTCCCAGTTTGCTGGGAGTTTTCCAGGCATTTAACAAGGGATGTGTTTGCTCCGAGGAGCTCATAAAAATGATGCTTTTAACTCAAAACAAGAATCTCAAAGCGTTTCTCAGCCATTTCTGGGCTGTCACATGCAAGGATATGTTATGGGTGATGTGACTGCAAATTTCCCAGGATCTGGGTTTTTGTGTGGGTTTGTGGCAGGCAGAGGTGGGAGTTGGATAGCGGGTCCAGATGAACCCAGCGAGTTTGGTGCAAAATCCACCTATTTGCCTCATTTGCCCAGACCCATGATCATTGCCACCAAAAAAGACTTTTCAGGGGAAAAAAGTCCTCCCATCACTGTAGGGAGCATGTGTCATTTTTTCCTCGTCTTCTGCAACTTCCTCTCCTGTCTCTGCCTCCCAAGTGATGCCACTGGCTTTTCCCACCCTTTTTCCTGGCAGATGCCAGAATTAAGGACGCGGGTGGGAGCAGGGAGGCTCCCCCGGGGTCCCAACAACTGTGAAAAGCAGCTTTGGTGGCGGCTGGCAGGGAGGCCTGATCCTGTTTATCCGAGCTCAAGCCTTATATTCTCATGGCTTTTTGACTAGACATCCAGTCAACAGCTGAAGCCCGCAAACGGAAGAGGCTCTCGCATATTTATACTGTGTGCTGGCCTTGGCTCCTTAAAAAAAAAAAATATCCCAGATTACCTAAGACTTGTCCTTGAGGTCTGGTCACCCCATGTCATTGAAAAACCTAGTGGGATTCATTCATGAACTTCCAGCCCTCCATAAAGGTCTGTTCATTCATAGCCAAGGCAGTTTTTTCTTTTTTTTTTTTCTTTTTTTTTTTTTTTT